AAGCAACTCTTCTCCACTGCTTTCTTGTGCATCAATCCTACTTCCATTTGTGATGGATGGAGCCAACCACCAGCAGCAGAGAGAGTCTGAAGGGATGCTAGTTTTTATTGTGCAAATGCAGGTAAATTAGCTAAAGGTTGATTCTAAGAATAAACTGACAAGATGGAAGGGGTTGTTGGAAAAGGGAGACACTAAACCCTCTACTTGGCATGTAAGGTCTTCTGGGAGGCTGATTAACAGGAAAATCACCACTCCTCAGCCCAGGACAAACCCCTTGAGAGCTGCAGGACCAGGGCACGTTTTTCTTCAGCGTTTTCAAAGTAGATTCCCTAAATAAAACAAGGGTGACAATCTAGGAACTAAAAATTCTTTACCCAGTAAACACCACCTTTTTTTCACAAACGAGGAATTTTTCAAAGGTTAGGAAACTGGGGCAGTAAAGGGATCCCACTTGGGAAGCAGAGGAGGGAAGTAAGCTAAATCAAGTTTAACATTTTTTAAAAATCTTGGCCGAATAATCTTAATTAGCAGTTCAGGCTTATTAGTTTCATTAGCCATTCTTCCCTTTCCTGTGACAGTCATCTTTACTAAAATATTCACTGAGGATCACCACAAGCATGTATGTAAGCCACTCATTATTTCTCATATCATGTGGGAATTTGATATCTGCCTAGTTATTCTGTTACATGCATAGAACCAACTGGATCATTGAAACTCTCCAGAATCATTTCTATCTGAATGCAGTATGGCCTTCCTTTCTGGCCAGAGTGGAAAAGTATAGAACTTCATCTCCTTCTTGTCACTGCATATGAAATATGACCACTATTTTGAATTGACTATTCCTTTCCTTCTTTTATATTTCTCTCATGGGTTTTTCTTGCAGTTTTTAGTTCATATTGGAGTTCAGCATCCTCAGCTATCTGAGAGTTTCATAATCCTGCATGAGTCAGATTGGACAAATTTAGCAATTCAATGACTCAGGAGTTTATTGGTGAAATATAGCTAAATTCACTAATCATTCCATATTAATTTTGGTGGTGTTTGTATGTTCAGTTAATGGAACCACCTTTGGGGCCATACACACTGCTACTAAGTTATGGATCGTTCTCAAGTTCCTCTGACTCACACTGTACCAGGCCTGGAAATGAACAACCCTCCTTGGGAAAGTTCGTATGTTTTCCTTCCTTGATGGGTATCATAAGGATGTATCTCACTCAGAGATGTGCTCCCCTCTACCCAGAGTACCCATAGATAAAACTATATTGATGCAGGTTTTCAGTTTTTCGAAACAAACAAAATAAAACAAAATCCAAATGTACAAATACACACAGAATGGAAAGGTGGCTGACCGGAGGATGAATGGACAGAGGAGTCATGACTCTCCTCTGCCCTGGTCCTGGGATGCTCTTCTTTGGGCCTTTCCTCTTAATGAATAATGCAAACCCTGACTTCTTCGTCATGGAAAGAAAGTGAAAGGAAGTGAGAAAGTGTGGGCTTCTGCACAGTCAAATCCTCAACAGCAGGATTTCTTAAAAGAAGGTCCACAGACCCTCTCATCAAAATCATGAGAGATGGTGGACCACAATGCAGATTCCTTGGCTCTGATCAAAGTTTCTGAATGACTCTCTGGGACTAAGGTAAAGGCATCTGCATTTTTACAAGTGCTACAGATGATTTTCGTGCATGGTGAGTATTGAAAAACACTGCTAAAAAGTTTACAGTGGGGCTCACTACGAAAGAATCTCTGTTCTAATGTATGTTGCAAGATGAGAAATATAGACATTTCAAACATAGAAGCTCTGTGGTTGCATCGCAACATGATGGTTATTAAAGTTTAAGACTCTTTTCTTTCGGCAGGGGTGGAAAGCAATAACCATTTCATCTAAAACCAGAGAGATGAAGGCAATATAAATCAAACCCATTCCAGCAGGTTTCATTTGGTCTAATTTCTCTGCAGATATTAATCATTGTACAGTCCTATACAAATGACATTAACGCCATTTTAACTCCTAATACAGAATACTCACTCTGATTCCTTCTCTAGTGTATTATTTTGACAATACAAATGAAAAATATATAAATTGGAACAGTGGGCCATCAAGATTGCAAGATGCCAACAATACCAAGACATTAAAGAGAGAAATGGCCCATGCTAAACCTATAACCCAGCATGCAAATTGTTGAAAACATTTATCTGCCACAGTGTCACTAGGGGAAAAAAATAACTCTCTTCATTTTTCCTATGAAAATGGCTATGTCAAGTGGAGGTGACAAAGAATTCTTCCTAAAAGTCCACAGAAAGACTCTTATTAATTCTAGCAAAGATTATCTAGGAAGACCAAGGTTATTAAGATTCCACAACATGGTATCTAGTGGCAGAAAATACCAGCGCTCAAGCTCTCTGGGTTAAATCATTATGGTAAATACAAAGTTGGAAGGTTAAATCTGTAACAAAGGAAAATGTCTAAGAATCAAAGTTTGGCTCCCATTATGGGAGTTGGTGTCAAGCAATTTTGCAAACCACCATACATGCCTTTTCTTTTTGTCACCGGAGCATGTTTTGCTTGGCAGAGACAAAGGACCATCAGAAGGGAATCTAAAGGCCAGAGAAGCAGAAGTAATCCAGAAGCACAAGGAGTTGACAACGAAGAGGACCCACCATGAAGAGCACGCATCTGCGCCTAGGAATGAAGCTGCCTCTGAATCACACAGGGGCATCTGAAAAGTGAAAAATCCATTTGTTTTCTACCTAAATTGAATCAGGTGGGGGTAGACATAGCTATGGGGGAATAAAGAGCAAAGGGAAAACATGATTTGTGCATTGTTCCCTTTTATTTTAATTTGCCATGCATGCATTTCCAGTCAGACAGCTGCCTACAATCACAAAGGGTAACACCACTGCATATAGCAGAGGCCACTTCACTGGGTTGTTTTTGTGACTACATCTCAGTGCAGCTTTTTCTTAAAGGGGAGGGAGAGCACACCAACACAGCAATCTCACAGCTTTATTTTCCTCTCTTCCCCTTTTCCTGCTGAACTGTTTTTGATAGTGGGTAGGAGGACTTGATAAATATATTCCTGACTCCAGGAGATCCACATACCTGTAGAGAGTGACCTCCCAATGTCACTGGATTTTAGCATTGCAGGATTTCCCAGCAGGCCACCTAATTCAGGGTTCTATGTATACGATTCCTCATTCATTTGATCCATCTGCTATTAGTTTCTTTGTATCAGCAAATTATGACCTCCACCTCTACCACTATTCAAGAAGTGAACAACACATATGGTTCTGTCCAGAAGTGAACTAAAAGTTGTTTTTTTTTTTTAAAGATTTTATTTATTTATTTGAGAGAGAGACAGTGAGAGAGAGCATGAGCGAGGAGAAGGTCAGAGGGAGAAGCAGACTCCCCATGGAGCTGGGAGCCCGATGCGGGACTCGATCCCGGGACTCTGGGATCATGACCTGAGCCGAAGGCAGTTGTCCAACCAACTGAGCCAACCAGGCATCCCAAACTAAAAGTTCTTAAAACTTTTAAGCTCAGGGAAACAGGCATGAATCAGGATTAATAGAGCATTTAATCCTTTAACTCACTTCACTTACCCAGAAATCGTTTTCAATGTGGTAAGCCACCTACACCCTACTTGATAACTTCACTCAAACTAGGACTGAATGTTTCCACTGACTCCTCCTGAGAGCTTTTTACTGACCAGGTCTATATTCATCTCTCTACCAACACCCACACAAATAAACACCTAGCTGCAGTCTTAGCTATCTGGGATATTTGGGTGGGTGTCCATCTAGAGATGGTCCAGATTGAAAATGTTAGTATTGTTTCAATCAGATTTCCTACCACTAGTTTTATTCACTAGAGGGCATAAGGAATACCTAAGCAGAAAAAAAATTCATGACGCGTCAAGGGACAGAAAAAGTATGCCAGGAACATCGTCTTTGTAGTATTCAGTTTCCTGTTTAAAGCAGGCAGTGGAAGTAGTGGGTTGTCTGATATCTTCTTCCTTCTTTAGTTCTTACTAGTGTATCTCTATCTTAATACTATTAGAGTTAGGTCTGAAATTTAAGGAAATTGGAACTTGGCCACTTTATGCAGATGCCAGACTCTAATAGGGCCACAAGCATCATCTGACCTACATAAATTTGAAGATATTTTATCTATCTTCAACTTCCTTTTGAGCCATTAAATTCTGTGATTCTTGCAGGATCCTCTATTAACGGGATGATGTGGTATTAAGAAACATTGAAAGGAAAGAAGACATATTGGTAGGGCCTTAAAAACTATGCTGTAGTTAAGAACAAATGCCTGTTAATATATTAACCCATAAAAGAACAACACAAATTCATAAATGATAATTCTCTTGACAACTCAACTCCCCAAATGAACTTTCTTTTTCACTCAAGTAGACCTTTAAAGTCCATTTGGGTCTTAGGATCAGAAAACATCTGTTGAGTCTGCGGCCCAGATGTGAGGGTAAGAATTAAACAAATTCAGGAAGATACCCATGTACTCATGGTCACTCATAACAGGAACCAAGAGAGAACCTCCTACATAATAGATGTGCATCAACAAAATATTTCAAGAGGAAGCAATTGGTTATTATATTCCCTCCTACAGACATTATCTAGTTGCCTTTATTACCTATCACACATATATACATACACACACACACAATAAAAAAAATTAAGAGTGCTTGGCACACAAATAATGCTTGACAAATTATTTTTTAAGTTCCCACTGAAATGTATGAGGAATGCTAAAAATAAAAATGGGTTTTTAATCTTCATTTACCACAAGCCTATGAAAGAGCTATTGGTACCCGTAGAATACAGAGTCATACGGATAGATGGCTATCAACAGTTTCTGTTTGGCTGTGTCTATACAGGTCAAAGATGTATTCGAGAAAGATAGTTTAGAAAGCCAAAACCTTAATTCTGAAGCTTTAGTTATCTAGTTGGGCTTTTCACAGACATCAGGGAAATGACAGCCAAATCCCAAAATCCCAGACAAAACTGGCTACAAGAAAGTAACAACGTAGCACTGTAGTTGTAAAAAAAAAGTCATGAGAAATTATTAGGCGGTGTGTGGAATACAATTCCCTCTTAAGGAAACAAAAGGCCGGACCCTTATCCAAGCAAGTACTGTGTGTTGTTCTTACTTCCACAACTACACAGAAATGCAGAGAACGGAATGTGGGTCACATGAAAAGGCCACACCATTAAAACATGGGCAGTAAGTACTCTGAAAACATTGAGAGACGGAAGGTAACTCAGCTCAGGGTAGAGAAGGCTGAGTGTGGGGTCACTGAGTCATAATTTTTGTGGATATGAATGTTTGTTTCTTTAATACAAAGAATGTTTTACTAAGCTCTTCTCACCCTCTCCTAGTGCAGAGAAAGAGCAAAACTGTAAAATGGAGCCTGAGGGTGTTAATTTCAAAATAAGGAAGACAATTTGTTGACGACCAGGGTTACTCGATGTTGGAAGGTGTTGCCAAGGGAGGCTGGGAAATCTTCCCAGAAGGGTTTTAAGAAAGGAGCAGAGGCTCATCTGTGTCTAAAGTAGTCAAAGAAAGTGCTGCTGGGAGCAGGGGTGTTCCCCTTAGTATATCCAGGCCCTGGGGACATGTGTGCTGTGTGTATGTACAGACATCGTTGTGCTTGTGTTGCACAAATACTCATGCATACGGCATCAATATAAACTGGCACATAATAGATTTGAGTGAAAAGTCATATAAATCTGCCATTTCCCCCTTTGCCCCATAAACAAAAGGGAAAAGGAAAATTTAAAAACCCAAACATATGCCATTGGGCCAGATCTCTTTCTACCACATTCTCATTCAAAGGAGGGAGGTAGAAGATGAGAGAAAAACCCAGTTTGGGATAAAGGACTCCCAAAGCCTCTCAGCTACTCTTCGGTAGCCAGCTCTCATTTTACATAAGATACTCAGCACATGGTATCCAGTAAACACACAAACAAACAAGGAACCAAAAAGAGATTTTCTTATCATTCCACATCTGGAAAGAAATCTACCCTGTGGATTTAAATGTTAAGGTGAACTAGGTCAATAGGCAGTAGTATATCAATGGGCTACTGTGTTCTAACAAACATATTGTTAGTTGTTACTTTCCTTTTCGAATACGAATTTTGTTAGGAGGTTTATTTCCAAATGGTGACACGATTCGTTTCTTCTCCCACCCCTGGCCCTCCCCTATAGATGATACTTCCGTAAAAGTTCAGATTGCCAAGGATGTTTTCTCTCAGGGAACCTATCTGGGATTTTGATCTTTAGGAAATCCTGGATGCATTTCTCCAGCTCTTCCTCAATTGAGAGCTTTTCCTTAACAGCTTTTTTTTTGCTGCTCATGTTCGACTCCCTGGAGCCTGAAGTCAGAGTCCGGAGCAGATCGCTCTTCCGCCGCATCTCGGACTGTTGGATCAGCTGTACGGGTCCCTTCTTGATGGGACGGTCCAGAGTCTGGATGTTGGTCTGGCGTGTCACGGGCCCACAGATGACCGTCTCCTGGGGAGAGCTGGCCTCAGACTGACTGTCACAGCTGGAGGTGGAGAGGTCGTTGCAAGATGTGCCGCTCTCCCCTTCTTTGTCACCTGTGGTGTTCTTGCAGCAGCAGTCGCAGTGGGAGGGTGACCACCTCGAAGGCTCACCTGCAAGCAAGCACAGCACCCAAGGGGTTAATGCCAGCCAGCTCAGCCCAGAGGAGCAGCACAGCACCTGAACACACACACACACACACACACACACACACTCACAAGTGTCCACAACCATATATTTACAAGAAGTGGGGTGGCACACAGGATAGGCTGCAACATGAGCACCTAAAAGTCAAGTGCATTGCAGGAAGGAAGTTCATAACTGCATGCTGGGCTTCAGTCCATGGGCACTGCAGCCAGCTACTTAGCTACACCATGTACCAATCTTGTCACCTTGGCAGTCCCCTTACATTCTCAAAGCTTCTGTCTCTTCCCCTGGGAGATGAGGATAATCAGTTGCCTACTTCCTAGAGTTGTAGAGAGGGTATAGATAAATCAAGTGAAATTCTTAACGATGTACATAGCACACAGTAAACTCTCAATAAATGCTACCTGATTTTACCATGGCTGGTGTTAAGCCTGGATCCAGAGCTCCACGTTACTGCAGTCCAGTACAACAATGGCAGTCTACAAGAGTCAGGGAGGGCTTACTCTGTGCCAGCCCCCCAAGTAAGCTCTGTGTACCCACAATCTCACGGGAGCCTCATGATAACTCTATGAGTAGCTCCACTCCTAGATTTCATACAAGGAAACTAAGACCCTGAGAATTTAAGAAACTTGCCCTAGTTTGCACATTTTGTAAGTGGCAGAGCTGGGATTTGAATGCAGATTTCCCAAGTACCACAACCAAAGCAACTAACCATTTGTTTTTTTCAACTTGTTGGACAGTAAAATTCCTGCTTTTCTTTAAAAACAATGTTCAGGGTTTAACTTCTCTCTCTGAAGTGTCTGTTTACCTCTCCTCAAAAATATTTATCATTTCCTCCTCTGAATTATGGTTTTGTTTTGTAAGTGCCTCTAATATTGCACAAATCACATTCTGATATTCTTTTTCACTTTATTCATTTCAGCTACTCACCATGAACTCTCCGAGCTGGGCACAGCCAAGTGTCCATTGTTGTAATTCCAGCAAGTGGCTCAGAGTATGGTGTAGAAACTCAGTAAAAGGCTGTATCCTTCTAGTAACGTTTAAGTACCTGGATTCAGCCACACCTGGAGCTGGTCCTGTCAGTGGACTTTTAAGTTACATAATCCACTATCTTATATTTAAGCCAACATGAGTACCTCTCTCCCTATTCCCCTCAGTTTTGATTCACCGCACTGTAATCAGCTATTTGGCGACAGACCCATTTTTCAGATACACAGCTGGTGGCTCCCTGAGCTAGAAAATCCACAATTACAGCACAAAGCAAGTTCCTAAACATAAGTCACTTCTCCCAGCCTTCTATTCCCTGAACATTCAGTCTTCTTAGGTCATGAACTTGATACTATTCACTCATCATACATTATATGCTAGGCTATTTCATATAGTTCATTGCACTTAAGCCATAAAAATTAAAGGAAATGAATCCCCTTTATAATGCTAATATTGAGGACAAGGATAATGTAGTATCTACGTATGTTTAAAAGGAGACCCAGTTTGATTTGTGCTATATCTTACTCTCATAAACAATGAATCACATTATAGTAAGATCCCACTTTACTGGCACCTCTAATATGGTCAAAGTAGAGGAAACCTAGAATGGAAACTAATAGGAAAGTTATATCCTGTCTTCTTGTTAAAGGCCTGTCATCCATATACTAAATGATTTAAATATTTATGGAAACTTACTTATTTTCCAGAAGGAGTAAAAAAAGTCCCTTATAAATCGTAACTCCAAAATTATCTCGAAAGTATATCCACTCTTTCAAACCACTTTTTAAAATGTGACTGAGTAATCATTGTATTTATATACCCATTAAATGAAATGCAACAATCCAATTAGCCAAAAGGAATCACCACAGCAATAATGTCCTACTTATCCCTGGCTATTACCAGTAAACATCTTCCATGCAACAGAGAAACTGCTCAATATGTACCAGCTGCTGACTGCAAATATCAGCAATAGGAAATCTTTTCTCTGCCAGCCCAGATTCTGAGGGTATCATTTTTCTTCTTCCAAAGGCAGAATCGGCCTTTGCCTCTCCAAACCCAGCCATCCCTAGACTAATAGGACTTGATGGAGAAATGGCTCCAATGCATTGGGTCAAAACAAGGTAATCATTATCAATCCAGACCTGGTCTAGTTTGATCCTTTATGAGAAAAGTTCAGAAACTAACCTAAGCCTTAAAAAAATAGAAGAAGAAAAAAAAGGAGAGGAAAGAGGAGACAAACAGAATAGAGAAGAAGACATATCTGCTGAGATATGCCTGAGCATTACCTTAAAACAAGATGATGAGCTATTTTGGCCACAAACCCTGCTGAACCAGTAGAAAGACAAGTCTGTGTTTTTCTCCCCAAGAGTTACCTTCCCCACTGTAAAGTCATTTCATGACTTAGGGAAACCTAAGGCTTTTCTAAAGGGCAATTTAACAACATGAACACCATCATGGGAGGGAGCCCTGCATGTTTCTGTGAAAAACTGCACACAACCCTCCACTGCATGTTTAAGGCAAGAATGCAGAGTGCATGCAGCTATCTTCCCTGAACTGCCACGATGACCAAGGGTTTAAATGTCAGCTGGGATCCTCCAGCTTCCAGGCAAATAGAAATATTACTTTCTACTTATTCTAGGAGCTATCACTATTAAAGGGAAATTGAACAACTTAATTTTAGTGAAGCCTGTTATACTACAACATGTTTCAATATTTTATGAGAACATTTGAATGTTTTAACATTTTCAGCAAGACAATTCATAAGAAGGCTTCTGGAGTCCATATATTAAATCAAGGAAAAGATGGTATGAATGCAGCTGGAGGTCCTGTGTCATGATGAAATTTAAAAACAGTTAAATGTGAGAAGATAACCACTCTGTTTTTTTTGGCGCGGGGGGGGGGGGAAGCACTGTCTGTCTCATTACCCCCTTCCCAAGAACTTGACCAGAGCAGAGGTTTTAAACCATAGCAGAGAAGTAATGTGTGTGGGCTGTGGACCCATTTGCCCTTGCAGCCCCACTGACATGTGCTCACCAGTCCTGGCAGATGTGGAAGGAGCTGTGGAGGGTCAATTCTGTAACTCAAGGTATTCTAGAATCTCCCCAATTATAGCAAATTATGATCTCATAAATACCTTGGTACATTGAATTACAATATACTTTTGCTCCCCATCAGCTGAGGTTTCAATACTGACTGGAATAATTTTCTCCATTTGAAGAGAAAACAGGTTACAACTGATTAGCCAGATGTAGGAAAAAAAAAAACTATTTCATCCCAAGAAAAGTCTCATTTATTGATATTAAAAGGGCAAAAAAAAAATTAATGTCTTTTGAAGGGTTTATTAACAGGCTAATGGTCAAAAAGCACAATAGCTCTACTTTATTTTTAAATAAACCACTGCTTAATTTAAAAAAAAAGCACAATAGCTCTACTTTATTTTTAAATAAACCACTGCATAATAAGTGATATTATATCATTTTTGGTGACTGGCACATAACAGAGGTTTGATAACTGTTTGCGGAACGAATGAATGACCCAAACACATGTGTTAAATTGTATCAAAATCATAATGCAGCAGCACAGATTGAGGACTCCAGAATCAGGCCCCACAATTTGTCAGTTTGGATAAAAAATACTTCACCTCCCTGAGCCTCAATTTCCTCATCTAAAAAGTAAGGCTAATAATAGTATCTCCCGGGGTGCCTGCGTGGCTCAGTGGGTTAAGCCTCTGCCTTTGGCTCGGGTCATGATCTCAGGGTCCTGGGATCGAGCCCTGCATCGGGCTCTCTGCTCAGCAGGGAGCCTGCTTCCTCCTCTCTCTCTGCCTGCCTCTCTGCCTACTTGTGATCTCTCTCTCTGTGTCAAATAAATCCACAAAATCTTTAAAAATAATAATAGTATCTCCCTCACAGAGGTTTTAGAAAAATGAAATGAGACAATTAATGCAAAGGTGTTTCATGGTTTGAAGCACCCGATAAATGTTCTATTCATTCATACCTATTTGCTCTACTAAAAGCCAGGCACTAACCTACATAAACCACACAAAGGAGGAGCATGTTCGACAGGATTTGGTATGCTGCCCCCAATATACTCTACAATCAGTTCTTAGGTCTGGCTGGAACATCATGTGAGGAAGGGCACTGATGCTGACGCTAGACTCATCAAGAAAATGTATAATGACATTTAGTAATGCCTGGATTTGCTGTGAGAGCGGAGAGTAACCACAAGCACGTGCAGTGTCTGGCACACAGTATGTGACCAGGGGATAGTTTTGGAAAGAAGTTTCCTTTACTGCACAGTGCTTAACAATTTCACAAATGGATGAGTCTTCTGGAATAAGAATTTGCTTGAAAACACATAAAATAAATTCAAACCCAGAGCCAGGAATAATCTGTATTTTGGATTAAGGGGGGAGGAACAGGACCCTAAATCGCCCTAAGTCCTTAAAGCTCAAATCTTCCAACATTTTACAACTCTGAAAAACTGAGGACCAGTCAGGCAAGTTGTATGATTGTACGTGGCCCCTTTGGACCATAATCCTAACTGCAGATGTCCTTACCGATAAAGAAGGAATAAAAGAGGAAAGACTACAGAATACTTCTCCCCTATGAAAAATTCAAACCAAGCTGAGTGAAACATGACTTAGCAAACTCACAAAGTGCTTATGCATTTTTAAAAGAGACAGCTCTGCAATCTACCCACACTTCAAATTCTCCACCTGCTAATGGTTGTGAACACAATGTACATCATTTACAACAACAGCTGGGAAAACTGCTTTCCCCTGTCTTCTCTGTCAATGATGTAGGAGCCTGCCAGTCTGGGAGCTAGGTGGCCAGATCTAATTTATTGAGGCTGCTGAAAGACTTTCCTGGTATCCCAGCTGAAAAGTCAATAATGGCCAAATTGATGTTTTTATAATTCTGCTAACCTTGGAGAAGATATTTCATAGTAGAGATTGGGAATAGGCAGGCTGTGCAAG